AACGGGATTAAGATACAAAAAACTCTGGCGGGGAAAAAACAAGTATTCACATTAACTACAAGTGCAATATCCATGAGTCATGACACCACTGGAACTGAACTTCAGACTCCAAGCCATCTAAGTAGTGATACTTAACCAGAAATTCAATCACCTTCTGAACTTTCTTTTAAAAAAATTAATACACGAGAAAGAGGAAGGTGACCCCTGCAGACTGGTCGAATATTACATCTGATGGTAAGCTAGGCAAAAGGCATCCGGATTCTATTTTCAAAACAGACACAGAACAACTTACATTACATTCAAATCCAACCACCAAAGTAATCAACTAGTTACTAAAGATACATGTTTCTAAGAAGATTTAACCTCAGTTTTTGTTTTATGGCGTTATGATTCAGATACTTGCAATTGTGATATCAACCTCTTAATGGATTTTTTTTTTTTTTTTTAGTACTCATGTGGTTGCCATAATGATAGTGTACACACTTCAGAAGAAATTTCCACTATCTACTTCTTCCGAAGTGGTTACAAGCAATACTTAATTAACATATATCTCCTCAAAAATAGTTAAAACTTCAGATTGAACAGAAAATGGAGAAACTATCTAATGACTCAATGGCAAGGTGAGTTTCTAGTTTGGATACACACAGAAATTCAAGGAGGCACCATACTCTCTCATCAAAATCAAAGAACCAATATATGTAAATTCTACCACTCCTCGTCTCAAGAAACTAGAGCTAAAATATAACAGACAGTTGTTCTGATGGAAAACTAAAAGACAATTGAATGAGGACACTGAATGGATACTGGACAATTATTTGACTTTTGAGATATAATTTAAAAATAAAAAGAAAAATAAAAGATGGGTAAGATGCATCACTTGTTTGAGCATAGAGACTGAAAGGGACCCAAGAAGTCATGATCAGGCCTTCACAATCTGTAGAGAGAAAGTTAGGCGAGAATAAAGTGGGAAACAAGTTGGATTCATCTGATCTCTTAGAAAGTATTCCCACCTCAAAATGTTTTATTCATAATTTCACCGCAGCAACAACTCTCTTCTTCTCTTTTCTCAATCACTCGCCCAAACACACCACTACCATATCACAGCCTTTCTTCTCATTGTTATTTGTTGGGTGATAAAAGGACACAAGAATAACTTGCAAATTCAAAGTTTAAATTTCCTAACTTTTTCATGTTTAGAGAATTATGAATTATAATACAGAACTCAATTTCTACTTTCTTGACATGTGCAATTCAAGGGAATGTTATTCACTAACATATTCTGAACATTAAATGATGAAGAATACAGGTCATGGCCGTAAAATTCAAAAGCACAAGAGGTGATAGCTGCTGCATTTTTCCCTTTTCTTTTGGGACCCCATTGTGAAGCGGTGTTGAGGAGTGTACGGTTTCAGGAAACAAAAACTTTGGATTCAGTTTTCATTTGAGCAATGCTTCAACTTAATTATTGAAGATCCAGAAAAACACCAGATAAGCTGGTAATGGCATCTGTTGCACCTAATTATGAAACTTCACAATTTATTCCTATTTGTCAAATTCACCATTTACCCAAAATTTTTTGAAAAATGATGATGGTCAAGTTTTAGCATCTTAATTCTGACAACAAAAAATTGGAAACGATGATGGTCAAGTTTTAGCATCTTAATTCTGACAACAAAAAATTGGAAATTATGATGGTCAAGTTTTAGTATCTTAATACTGACAACAAAAGATTGAAAATGACATCAAGCTTTTGGTATATTGCTTCGACAATAACTGATGTGCAAGTATTCTCCATTACATTCGAATTCATTCTGTATATTACCCCGGAATTTATGATCGTCAAAATTTTTTTGTCTTCTGAGAATGAATTATATTTTCATATTGTGAATTCAAAAAACCATGAGCGCAATTTCAGCATTAGCACCAGCTGTGAGGGGTCAAAAATTACTCTACAACATAAAAATAACAGAAAAAAAAAATCACTATCTAATAATAACCTAGAATTTATGACTGATAAAATTTGACATAGATTGAGCTTCATGAACTCTATGAAAATATATGCCAAAAAACAAAATACAAACTTAAAAGAAACAGATAAGAAAATAATTTTTAAAGTGGAAAGTTAAAAAATTACCTTGTGTGCCAGCTGGTGTAGTCAAAAGAGGATTTCCAGATCAAACCAGTATGAAAACATGAAATATTTTTTCATATATTAGCAACAGTTGAATTTTCTGTTATTTTCGCAAGACATTCAAAATGGTAATGTGCAAACAAAACCGACCTTGGAGGGAGAAATCCTTGAGGCCAATATCACACATATTATAGATATTTTCTGAGATGTTTGCTTTCCGCAATTTTAGCGCAAGTGATGCTGCACAATTTAAAGCTTGCAAGTTGGTGACGAAGCTCTGCCTTTGCAGACGAGACACATAGCTGTTGACAGCAATGCAACACGCTGTCTGGTTACTTATTCCGTTACTGCACCCCTTTATGAGATGACTCATGTTCGGGAAATCCAGAGGGCACACTGAAACAGTAAGAAAAGATGAGTAAATGAGTTATAATCTAGTAACAAAACAGTTGAGTGTTAACACTCAAAAAATGAAAAAAGTTTAACCTTTGCATGGTAAAATGAATTGAACAATAGAACAAAATATGTTTATCCCAGAACTTCAATAAAATCACTGGTTACGCGAATGCAGTAGGGACAGACATTATGAAGTATCTGGAGCCAAAATAGCTGGACTGCTTAAGAAGTTGTGGGTTACTAACAATTTAATTGTGCAATGGCCCATTTTACATTGTTCAAAAGGGATACTTGTCTTAGAGACGCTAACAAGCCCAAACAATGTAATTTCCTAACTTTGACCATATAATTTCTAACAACAGGAAAACCAAACCACAAAAAGCACTTTTTTTCCCAAGTCACATGTTTGTATTGTATTAACTATTTAGAAACAATTTCCTAACTTTGACTATATAATTTCTAACAAAAGGAAAACCAAACCACAAAAAGCACTTTTTTTCCCAAGTCACATGTTTGTATTGTATTAACCATTTAGAAACAAATTTGAGACCACGATTGTAAAAGCTAGAGATCATAAACAATGCTAAGAGTCATTTTTTACACCTTGACCAAATGTAAGGTATCAAACCAACATGAAAGGTTTTAGCATGCTATTAAAACTATAAAAACATCAAAAACATGTAATCAAGAAAAATAGGTTTCACAGATTTACAAGTGTACATTTTTGTCGCATGTACTCCATATTTACGAGTCCAAGACTCTTCTAAAGATGCGATATCCACACCAAAATTGCAAGTGACTGCACCCCACTTAAGGCAACAAACTAAAGGAGGAGAAATGGGAAGAAAGGTGTTTAATTAAACAGGTTCAAACAGCTTAGACCTTTCTCATTTATATCTCACCTTTATTAATTTTGCAATTAGATAATCCTCGAAGAATTTCTTTTGCATGAGAAGGATCAAGTTTACTTGCCAGCCAACGGAGAACGATACTTCTACAATCACTGACCCTAGTTGAGTGGTCAGACAATGTGTGGGTACCATCCAGGCTCAGAAAATCATAAACTTTTAGAGAAAGCTTTTTAGCAGCTTCTGATATAGCATTCTGACAAACCTGCTCACAACATTCATTCACAGCATCTATTTTCCCACAGGCAGCAAGAAGCTTAGATGTATCTACTGTGCTCTCAAACCCACTAACGTCATTAACCGGGCAAGAACCTTCAGTAAGATTTGACGGATGAATAGAGCATATATTTGGTAGACTGTCATTGGCCCCTTGACTCACCAGAATTTTCTCAATATCCGACAGGCAATGAGTCGCAAGTGTCCCGTTCAGAGCAAATGTATTCGTATATTTACTAGATTGACCAATGAGAATGACCAATATGGCTTCCAGTTGTGGACAGCACACTACATTAGCTAGATATGGTGCGAATCCAGCCATACAATCAGTTGATGTCACACTCATCATGCTTCCAACAGCTGTAAAGTTCAGCATACAGAGCCCTGAAGGCAAATAAAATGAAATTAATATGTGAATCACTTCTACATGTTAAACAGTTAGAACCATCAAATATGGTTAGCATTAAAGACGAACCAGATAATTTTGGGACAGTGCTATTCGTAAATGGTGTCAACGGAGAAGGTGCCAGAAGAGGAAGTAGGGGCAGAGGAGCTGCAGTTGGGGAATTCTCAGGCAAAAGTGCATCCACTCTTTTATCCATCATGACAGAACCTTTGAGATAATTTGACGGTGTGCAACAGGATTCATGCAAGCCTGTAAACAAATGTGTAATCAGGAGAGTCAATAGCAGAATAGACCATATCCATCTACACCAAGAGAGGGTTTCTTACATTCTACAGATCGACTTGCAGGAATGTAAATCATATACATCTCATTTGCACACACTGCTTTCATGCATGCAGCAATATTGAGCACCGAAACTTACCTCCAGTTTTGGAATTGCTCATGCTTATTGTCAAATGTTGAACAACAGAACTACCAAAGACACCAATTCATACTCTCCAAATAAAGAAAATTATGTTCACTATGCAGCTAACAATCACACTTTCCAGGGATATGTTCCCATCATTTGTTGTTTGCCTGTTTGTCGTTGGTCTTTCTAAAGTTGTAAAACACCTTTGACTCCAGTACGAGGATGGGAACACAAGAAAGTTGCTTGAAAAGCTTTACAAAACCCAGATAATCAATTGGCAGCAAAGTCTCAAGTAAAATTTCATTTTTGTTTAACATCAATATGTCCTTTTTAGCTTTTACATATTCTGTCTCAGCAAAATTTCCATTTTTTTCAGTACCACCAATTAATCTGTAGATAATTCTAATTAGTCTTTGAGCATGTTGGGCTAACTCTAAAATAAAAGTTTACTTAAAAAAGTGACTTTAATTTTAGGCAAACATGTTCTTAATAGGTTTCAGATTTACAAAGCTAAATTTGATTGTCAAGAATGCTCCACAGACGTAACAAGAAAATATTTTTATTAATTCGCGTGCACCATATGCCATGGCCACCCAGTCGATAAAAATAGATAAGTTCCCATGTCCCCGACTCAAAATCCTAATCTTTACCCTTCAGAAAAAATTCTACACATAATCTCAGTGCAGCCAAATGAATATCAAATCAAAGGCAATTCTGTTGAACTTAATTTTAATGACAATTTTAGAACCCTAATTTTCCAAATTCGACACTGAGAACAAAAAACAATTAAAACCCAGAAGGTTTCCCGACAAAACAAGCACTTTTCAAGTACTATAACTAACAGATCATTCACAAAAGAAGTAAAATCCTTAAATAAAACTCAACATAAAGCTAGAAATACTCACAAAGAAGAAGCAGAAACACAATAAGAAGATAAATATTGAAACTTTGAGCCACCCCTCCTCCCATTGCTGCCCGCTCAATTGCTTACGCACCCAGTAAAGAAAATGGCAATCAGTACAAGGAAAAAGCACAAAAGAGGAGAATTTACGTAAGCAAGAGTTATACTTTGTATTGAAGAAAAAAAAACGAAGAGGCAAAACTGAAGCGAGTAATAAAAAGGGGTTATTGTGTGGGAAAAGAGAGAAGGTTGGGGCAGCCATGAATGAACTGCTTTTAATTATGTGGGGACACAGAGAAGCAGGAATTAATACTCTTTTTTATTTATTTTATTTTATTTTTTATTTTTTTAAATGAAGCGACCGCAGTGCACTGAATAAATTTCTAAAATAAATAGTAATAATTGATGATTATTGTTGTGAAACTCACAGTTATGTGTTCTTGGCGTGCATTGAAGTCCATCAATTGCCTTTTTCCACACTGTCTCTACACTTTCATGACTTTCCCATGAGGGATTAACTTCATTTTTTTTGTTCACAGCTCAATCCTTGATTCCAGTGAAAAACGAAAATAGTATCTTTTTCTCCAAAAAAAATTTCCGAACTTCTGATTTTATTTAAAAATGAACTTTTTAAACTTAGCTATCGTGCTCGTCTTGTAATCGATAAAGCGAGTTGGAAGCATGACTAGAATTATTGTGTACATTTTAACCAATAAAATCATACATGTGTTGTCTGTGTATGTAATTAATGTAGGTGGTTGTCCTCCAAATTACTCCCCAGTCTCCACTTATCTGACTCTGTTTTCTGTATTTAAAGTTGAGCCATGAATTTAGCTGTGGACTGTGATTGTGTTGTGGATTAGTTGGACAAAGGTCCCCCCCCCCCCCCCCCCAAATTCAAATTGAGAACCAGCCTGACCTAAAAGATCAATGCTACAATGACAGGATTTAAATACAGAGTCTGAAGCCAGAATACACTTGTCAAAAAATTGTTGGACACACAGGAAAAAGGTCAACAGTAACAACCATCTAGGTGCTGACACACAGTAACTGGATTTAAAACCTGGCTGACCAGCTTTACTGGACCTAAAATTACAACAAAATAGACCATAGGAATATCAAATACGTATATTAGAAACTTGATATCTGTGTCTGTTTTCTTGTGGTTCTATTTTTTTACATGGAAATTGCAATTTTATATAGCTTGGTTTATTTAGTAGTACTTGCACATTTTAAACAATTTGTTTGGTAACATCTGATTGTTCCTAATTACACGACATTGTCGTTTTCACCATTACATATATTAAGAATCAATAGTATAACTCAATTTTATAAAGGAAAAACCTACTCGATTTCTACAAATAGAATGTTGTGCCTCTGGATTTTTGGGATACAACGTGGATTCTACCCCACAATTATCATTCTCGGTCGAAAAAAGTTATATTACACGTCTTATTTCATCCTTGTATCATGAGACTTCATACCACTAGTATATCCTAGTATCCCACTTGTACATACGCCTCTTTAGACCACGAAGATTGTGGACACCTACTTGTACTTCCTTCGAGTATCCTTAGTCATGATTCACAAGTTAAGGTATTCTTGCTATCCATATTATTTGATTTCAAATGTATCAATTTTTACATCCCAGGGAATTTTTGGGGCACACGAGCTCGACCAGATTGGAAATTGCTTGTTAGTAAGGTTTCCTTAGTCAATGTGAGTATGATGGTCTTCAGGAAAACGAGATGTATTGGGTATATCTTCCTCCAGAGAAATAGCTATTACACTTTCCTTTGATGTCATCCTGTTTTTAGCTCAAATGAAGAATGAGGATCACATGAGAACGAATCTAAAGTTGGTACTCATAAATAAGTGTCTTCTCCAAATAATTAAAGAGAACGAGTTTTGTTGAGTCAGCAGAAATTTAAGGTGAATTTTCTGAGTTATATCGAAAATTCAGATCTCATAAAGACATAATTCAGGGAAAACAATCTTAATTCCACTCTTATTGTCCGTGGAAAATGGAAAATATTAGTCTTTCGAAATCCGGATCTCACCGGCTTGCAGTTGGAGATGTTATAAAGACTTTGGATTAAGTACATTTTGCTGTTACTTAACAGTCTAGTTTGATTAAAAATATACAGTGACCAAAATACATCTTTCTCGTACCCGGGCTACTATTTCAAGTGCAATTGAGATAAGTATTGGAACATTCAAGAGACTGAAGATTCTAATTAGTTTTGTAGTTTTTAGTTTATTATAGTGTATGCCCTTGCAATTGTCTCCCTGTCCAACTCTGCCATTAATCTAGGATATAACGTGAGTTAGCCATTCCTCTACCTTTCCAATGAACTAATTATTTCTCGTACAATTTCAAGAACGTGTTTCGTATGAAAATCCCGTTTAAGGAAGAAGTGCTATGTCCGTCCAAGTGCTTGAAGAGGAGAAGGCTACGTGTTCCCTATAAGTCTGCTGCCTGTCATACATATTTCTGTGCATAAAATATGGCGGAAAAACTTGAAATATTCCCCAAAATGAGTAAGAACGTCATCATTGTTTAGGATTTGGTCAAATTCGTGTTTTTGAAACATTATGTTTTACCACGAATAGCCGAGTTTGGATATTTCCATAACCTTGCTTAGCAAACTTCAGTTATCACTGGCATTCTTTAACTAGTTATTCTTACAAAATATATGGAGCCGTGCTTCCATTCGAATAGAACTTGATAGTTTCAATTTGTTGATACTTTCCAGATACGTCAGGTAGCGAATGGGATGAAACAAGCAGAAATCTTTCGGACCGGTTATATGAAAAATGGCCATGCTAGTCAATATTTGCAGTAAAAGCTTCTGTTTTAAGGATTGGGCATCACTCTTTTTGGCCCGTTAAGTTTATAGCAAGAATATAGAAATAGGTGTAAGCATCCTATGTGTATGCTTCTATATAAAACTGTAAACACTATCAAACGCGGAAGTTTGGACTATCGAATTACCTCCGGCCATTGTCGACATGAAAGCTTTTCAGAACAGAAAACGTAGCAGCTGTTCTACGAGTTCGAGAGTTTCCATTGCTTCGTTCCAGCCTCTTAATGATGGTGTAGTATAAATGAGTAAATGGAATGACATTAGGGATCCAAACAATGTTTCTTTTATAAACTCGGTCGATCACCGATTCTTTCCCATAATTGTAGGAATTATGAACCATCCACAGCAACTTCCAAATTGCCATACTTAATATTGGAAGTGCAAATCACTGATTAATGGAAGGTTTAGGTCACATACAATTTTCTTTAATTAGAATGGAAAATTTCTACATTCTCCCACTTAGCCTAATATATACCGTTATTTCTCATAGGAAGAAACAAATACATGAATCATCTAAAACCCTTCACCATGGGAGCTATATTTGATGAACAATTTTGTGGTAATTACACAAATCCATAGTTTATAAATTCATATTTCCTAAATAAGAGTGGAAGTTTAATATTTCACTAATCAGATTTTTTTTTTCATTTTCTAATTAATTTAAAATTATTTAATAACTATCTCTACCTAAAATCACGTAATTCAAAAATTTAGAAACTATATTTTCTTTAAACACGTCATTTCCATAAAACCGTCATTTCCATACCCACGTCCCTCACGTATCCCATTTTTCGATTAAACCGTGATCATCCAAACCGTGTTCATCCAATCGGACGTTCATCACTGTCGTTCTCCGATGATTTCCCGATCAATTTCTTTCACTGTTGGTCACATATTTTTTACATTCTTTCCTAAAGCAGTGTTCACAGTTTACCCGAAATATTCTAAAACTTCAACGATGACTCGTTCAAGCAGTGGGAAACATGGGGAGAAAACTGAAATCCACGAGTCAGGAAGAAGAGGTAAAAGGAAGTTGGATGAAGTGCAGAAGGAATCATCCTCTAAAAGACAAAAATCCAGAAGTTCGGTCAGAAAACAGTCGTCGAAGAAGGTGGTTTTTGATATTTTTCAATTGTTCACTTATTTCGAGTATACTTACCTTCATTTTAATCGATGGATAATGTGTATTGATGAAGTATTTTTGAATTTGTGATGTATGTTGTGTTGAATTTGTAATCTAAATGCCTGATTGTAGTAAGGGTTTTTAATGTTTTTTTCAAAAGTGGTTGTTCATTTGTGAATTATGGAACGCTATTGTGTCGTTCTGTATGGGTGTTGTTGATTTCTTTTTTGGTAGAGGGGATCTGTGACCTATATGTTGATGTTTGTGACTACCTGGATTTCCACTTGTGACCAAACTGATAATTTTTATTGTGATCGTTGTTGCAGGCCTGGAGATACATTATACCCGAGAAAAGTTGGTTTCCGGGTAAAATTACAATTACCCCGTCAAAGGTGTGGTGTCGAACTTCAAAAACAATCTCAATGAAGCCCAACGTCGAATCCTTCAGAATATGTGTTTCGCTCACTTCCTGCAATGCGAGGAAATTGTTATCCAATCGCAGCTGATACACTACTTTCTGCTGAGACAAGTGCAACAACCTAATGAGAGTGAGTTGTGGTTCAACATAGCTGGAAGATTCGTACGGTTCTCAATTTCAGAATTTTGTTTGGTGACTGGTCTGAGATACGTCGGTGATGATGACATAAGTAGGATGGAGAAGACTCCATCCCGATTGAAAAATTTGTATTTTTCAACGTTGAAAAATTTGTATTTTTCAACTCATGAAAATATCAAGGACGCATTTTTTGGTTCTACTGACATTCCGGATGAGGATTTTTCCATGCTAGGTGCATTGTATTTCATAACGTCTTATCTACATCCGAGAGACTACAAGAAGGCTATGGATCACTTCTTTTTTATACTAGTTGAAGATTTTAGTGCGATGAATGTGTTTCCATGGGGTAAGTCGCTGTTCGACAAACTAGTAAATTCATTGAGGGAGGGGTTGAGTAAGAGATCAACACATTATAGACTCAGAGGCTTGCTTGTAGCCTTTCAAGTGTAGATTTACGAGACAATTCCCAGTCTCGATGGATACACGCCGAGAAGGATTTCCAAAGTGTACCCCAGGACAATGAACTGGAAGGCTGATGATCACCCTTCGACTGCGAAGCTTGAGGGACCTGAACGCTTCTCCAATCCAGATGTAAGTGACCACCGATGCAGCAGTACTGGTTTCAAACTGGCACCTTTTTTTCATGTTCCAGATCATATTTCTTAGGTCACAAATATATTTCGTCAAGTCACAAATTGCATTCTCGAAGTCACAGATTTACTCATTATGTCACAGATCATTTCATACTAGGTCACAAACATTTTCACGGTGCCATTTGCCCTTGTTACATCACAATTAATGGAAACAAATTGAATATGTGTGATGTGCAAAACTATATCTGTTTGTTCATACATAATTTTTGGTTGTTGACATTGCACTTTTTGTTGTGATATGAATGGCAGTTGGAAATATGTGACCTGGACCCTCTACCAGCTGAAATGGCAATGCCATACATGAGTTAGGTGCAGTATGAGAAACCTATCCTACCCAATCGGTCACATGGGGAGAAGAGAAAGGGTGGTAGCATACACCGATCAGATCATCGTGCTGGGACTAGTACAAAACCAAGTAATCCAGGAATGAAACAATCTACTCCCATGCTTTTGATAACTGATGGACGATTGGGACACTCTGATCTCCCCATTGATGATGACGACTTTGTTGACGCACCACCCAGTTGGAAGGGGACATCAATCCATGAAGATTCTCCAAGTGGGGAGTTTAAGTCAGATGACACCACTGATTCAGAGGATATGCCGTCAAAAGATGTAAGCTCTTCCAATTTCATCTATCATGTCACAAGTCCATTTGGTCACATAAACATTTAGGTTACATATTCAGGTCACAGGTTTCGGTGATTAGGTCACATACAAATACACATTTCACTGCTGATCACAGATCAATGTTATATTTTATCATCATAAGTTTACTGATTATAGGTATTCATGTGATGCAGGTGGTCGACGAATTGAAGAATTATTTCAAAGGGCAGATATCTAATCTAAAGTCTGAGAATCGGTTGCTAAGCAAACAACTCAAGTCAATGCAGTCACAGGTGTCTTCTTTAAAGTCTGATCAGCAAAGGAAACTGAAGTTGCTAGTTCGTATGCAAGGTGAAATTCGTACTGACATGTTGGACATCAAAGCACACATGCAGTGTATGTCTGATTCTGTGACTACATTGATATCTAGTTCAATGGAAGAAATTATGAAAAAATTCAGAGAGAACGCAGGACCAGAAATTGTTGTAGGATTTGGACCAACATGCGAAGTCAGTACCCCAACTGTGACTGCCTCTTATTTGTCTGTTACCACAAACCGTTTGATATACACTTCTCATCAAATGCATTTTTGTTCTAATTTTCAGGTTGCAAAAGTCGAACGAAGTGTTGATTCGAAAGGCAAGGCGAAGGTTGACTCTGTGTATGCAGTTGAATTCCCATGTTCTATTGAACCTCCATCTTTTGATCTCGGTCTTGGATTCACACAACCAAGCCAGATTGTTGCAAAAACATCAAAGGAAGTTGAAGTGCAAGTGGAATCGGTCATAGTCGATGTTTTGAAGGACACAGAATGTTTTCAGCAAGAGGTATCAAAAAATCTATGTATTTTTGTTGATTAATGCATGTCACATATTAAAGAACACATTTTATTACACAGCACTCACCTGAGGCTACACCAAGTTCTGGATTGCCGGTGAAGAGGGCTCCAAAGCCAGCTAAAGCCCTTCAGTCCCCTTATGTTGCCGACGAAATGAAACAAATGAAATCTTCAGGAAATATAGTGGTCTTTGAACACTACAATCAGAATGTACAAGATGCAGATGTTGCTGACTTTCAAAATTGGTTTCAAAAAGGATACAAACCACATAACAAGTACGAAATTGTTGTCCTATTTTCATAATGTTCCAAATAATGATCCGTTCTTCTCGTTTACAGGAAGAAGTTCAATGATAAAGATGATGTCATCCGTCCACCTTTTTCCATCAGTCAGTACTTGGTGGGAAACAAGATATGGTGGTACGAACTTGTATCCAGGGAGGTGTCGTTGACTAGTTCGGTAAGTTACTACACAAAAGTAACAGTTATAAAGGGTATGTTACAGTACAGGTCACATTAGTCACAGTTTTTTGTATACTAGTCACACAGAGCATGGGTCACAGATCACACGAGCAGTAGGTCACAAATGATGCGTAGGTCACAGATCATGCGAACAGTAGGTCACAGCTGATGTCTGGGTCACAAATCACACGAACAGTAGGTCATAATCCGCGCTGCACAGGAGAACACATATCTGCAGGTGCAACAGTATAGCACACATGTCTTTATTACGTCCGGGTTCAGTTATGGAGTGGTCACTAACTACAGATTGTAGTGACCACTCATTCTAGCCGAGTCACACATCAAATTAACAGCTTATTGCATCATGTTTTCTGGTGTATAGATAGTTTCTAAATTGTTTATTGTACTTTCATCTCTATAGCATATGGACGTGTGCTTCTATTATATACGTCAACTGGCAAGAAGTGCGAGAGATTTCAAGTTTGTAGCTACCACAACGGACTCGTTGTTCCAGGCCAAGCTAAAGCACATGTATCCTAGTTTCAAGGATGATGCAAATGTTCTTGTCACGGATGATAGACTGATTGACGATATTACCGGTGCACGAATTCCATTGAGCACTCCATGGGCTGAAGTCGACCTTGTGTTTATCCCACTTCTGCCTACCAACAAAGTACATTGGATGCTTGGAGTGTTGGACATAAAGGCACATACGTTGCGTTTATTGAATTCGTCCAGGAAGACATACAATGATATCAAAGTCCGTACTGGAATTGAACCCTTTGTCAGCATGCTTCCGCATCTCATGAAATCTGTTGGAATATGGAAAAAAGATTCCTTGGAGTTGAATGTGGATTTTGATTTCTCTCTTCCCCAACAGAAAAATAGGCAAGTTTTTTTCCCTCCACTAACAGTTAAACATATTAAAACATGCTAGATTTCGTAGCTAATATTCTGTTTTTTGTGTTCCTAGACATGATTGTGGCATTTACGTGGTCAAGTACGCGGAGTACATGCTATATGACAATATAGGATCCATGCCAATGAAGTTTGATGCGGGGAGAGCTCGGTTGGATGTAGCTTCACTGTTGTTCAAACATCGCGAAATCGGGAAGACTAGAAAGCCGGTGCAGCCTACTGGTAGGGAAAGCATTGTTTTAGAGTGATAGTGCAATTAGAAGTAACATGTTGTAATAGATGGAAACATTGTCTCGTGTTTTGGAAATTCGTTTGTAATGACAACGCAGTTCTTACTTTTGTCTGTTTATATAAAAAAGTTCATTAATGTTTGGGGACTTTACTACAAGTTTCACTACATATCATATTTTGCTATATTGACACCGTATCGAGGACAAAGTCTCAAAATTTAATGGTTACCTGCAGTTTTTAGGATTATCACAAGTCACCAGTTTCTAGGATTATCTGCAGTTCCAAGGTCACTGGTTTGTGTAATTTGGTCACAGGTCAATTCCCATTGTCACAGGTCACTGCACCCTGGTCACAGGTTACCTGCAGTTTTTAGGATTATCACAGGTCACCAGTTTCTAGGATTATCTGCAATTCCAAGGTCACTGGTTTGTGTAATTTGGTCACAGGTCACTGCACCCTGGTCACAGGTTACCTGCAGTTTTTAGGATTATCACAGGTCACCAGTTTCTAGGATTATCTGCAGTTCCAAGGTCACTGGTTTGTGTAATTTGGTCACAGGTCAATTCCCATTGTCACAGGTCACTGCACCCTGGTCACAGGTCACAGGTTACCTGCAGTTTTTAGGATTATCACAGGTCACCAGTTTCTAAGATTATCTGCAGTTCCAACGTCACTGGTTTGTGTAATTTGGTCACATGTCAATTCCCATTGTCACAGGTCACTGAACCCTGGTCACAGTTCATAGTATATTGTTCACAGGTCATGAAGAATTATTACAAGTCAATCTAATCTGGTCACAGGTCATTGAAGATTTGTTGCAGATCATTTCATACTTTTGTCACAGCTAATTGCAACTGAACCACTTCCATTTTGCTGAGTATTTGCAACATGCCACTGGTCATCTTTTGTTGGTCACAATTTATCGTATATTTGTCACATGTCATTGGATATTTATCGTATGTCACTTCATCCTAGTCACGTGTCTTGATAAATGGTCACAGGTCTCTACATATTGGTCACAGCTCATTGACATCTAGTCACAGATCATTTCATATATCCACAGTTGATTGCACAGAGGTCACAGGTCACTGCATTCTGGTCACAGATCATTTATATTGGTCACAAGGCACTGCATTCTGATCACAGGTCATTAATAATGATCATAGTTAATGCATACTAGTCACAAGTTATTGTAGAATGATCACAGATCATTAATTTGTGTCATCCAATGTTTTGCATCCTACGTTTACAAAAAATCAATGAATGAAAAAAAAAAGGGAATTATAAAAAATATATCAATGTGCATTTCCAGTCTTCATCCTCTTCCTCTCTTTATTCTTGTTGCTTTGACTCAATGGAACTAAGCTGCTGCATATTCTACGATTGTGACCACTTTCACCACACCGACCGCATTTGACGGTTATGTTTTCCTCGTACGCTGGTCTGAATCTCTTCTCAGTAGGCCTTCCACAACTTCGCTTTTGATTAGGTACAATTACAACTATATCATGGACATCATTTGGCACTGTCCATTCAGCTGGATTTCCTACCGGAAAAATGGTTTCTTGGTATGTATTTCTGAATGCTTCACTTGTGTAGTAGTAGGAGTAGTATTCATATCGATCCATCTTCATACTCGCAAACACAGCCAAAGCATGTGGACAAGGTAGTTGATCAACTTGAAGCATCCTACATGTGTATGTCCGATTTTCTATATCAACAACGAAGGAGGAACTTTCACCGCTAACTGAGAACATTGCCTGATTAATAGGGGAAACCTACAGATATAGACTCAAGTTATAGGCATAACAAGTCACGTAATTAAAAAGTAGGACACAGATGAAATTGCATGTCATGTAGTTATATATAATATTGCACAAATATTACTGAAACACAACGGTACAGATCACAGCAGAAGTCACAGCACATGTCACAGATCAATTCAGGTAAGTCACAGATTATAGATTAGGTCACAGTAATCAAGTTTACCCTCAAGTTTCTATATCTGTACTCATTTCCCTCATCTTCTTCTCATACTTGATTGACAAGGTTGTAAAAGTGCCTTGGGCGTCCTCCTTGTGTCTACAGAACCAAGATTGTAGAATTTATCTTAATGACTCCAACAAAGCTAGAATAGGGTAGTTCTTGGCAGACTTTGTGACCGCATTAACCGACTCCACAATATTCGATGTCATTGTAGAATATCGGTTTGAAGGCATGTGGAAACGTGACCATCTCTCAAGTCCAACTTCATCCTACAAACAAAACCATGGAAATGTGTATCATATAGTGTACAATACCATGTTAAACGTATTTATGTGAATATCATCATAGGACAACGTATAGTATAGTACCAGATAACCCCTTATCTTCTCATTAATCGAGCCGAGTTGTTGTATGTAATATTCATATTCCAATAGTGTGTAGGCACGAACAGCTGCATTGAATGCTTGTGTTATGTTTTGTCCTGATCTCCCGTACCGTGATTTTAGATTTTGTAGTAGATGGTACGAACATATCCCGTGACATGCTCCCGGATACACGTTTTCAATCGCCTTTTTGATGCTGTTGTGACGATCCGACACGAAGCACAAACTGTCTCTATCCCCATATGCTTTTCTCAACTGTCTAAAAAATCATGTCCAGGAGCTGTCATTCTCGTTATCCCCAATCCCGAAAGCAAGTACATAAATGCTGTTATTTGCATCTTATGTACATGCCGTGAATAAGGTGTCACCATAGTGTCCATTTAGATAGGTGCCATCAACCACAACAATTGGCCTACAATGTTTCCATCCCCGTATAGATGCGCCTAGTGCCATGAAGCAATATTTAAACCTATTGTGACCATCAATTTCTAGACTTGTGACTGATCCAGGATTTATTTGTTGTAGCACAGAAAAAAAGGCAAGTATCTTATTGAATGAATCAGTTGGATCACCCCTAAGCACTTTCAGAGTTTCCTCTCGAGATCGCCAAGCTTGGAAATAATTCAAAGATACTCCATATGTATACAGCATATCGTTGCGTATATCATTCGGTGTGTATAATGTGCGCGATGATGTGTACTTGTACTTAATGCAAGTTGAAACAATCGTCTTTGTTACTTGCCTATGAGTACTGAGTACGATGTTTGAAGCACATATGTGACCTTCTGCAATGTATCTGATTTTAAACATATCTGTTTTGGCTAGCTTCGATGCTCTACGTATCCAATTACACTCATCACGTGAACATTTTACAAGATAGTCTTTCTTATCGGACCGAACAACCACGTACTCAAACATGTTCTGGATTGCATAAAACGACAAGCTCAATTTCATTATCTCCTTGTTACGGAAGACTCTTCCTTCCTCTACCTCCCTTGCATCTGCCACCGCCACAACTGTGACCTCATGCTCAAGATTGTCACTAGATGGATCCATTATTGCTCCACATATCTCTGATGACATATCTGTTAATGAAAACCCATGTTCATTCGATTGAACATCAACTGATAGCGCAATAGGCTATTTTTCAATATCTGCAGTTGTCACCTCGATGTGAATTGGATATTTCGCAGGGTCACAACTCATATCCTTTAAAACCATGTAAGACAAGACATTCTCGTCACTTTTGATTGCTATTGGAGGCAGATCACTGTTCAAGACATACTTCATTGTCACAGCAACTTTTGTAGGGTCAAAGCTAAACTCTTTCATAACTGTGTCGACAAGTCTCAAATACCCGCAACTACGATCAATTAACACCAGTGACACTTGTGATCCATTCAACAGACACACGTGAATTAACCCCATTTTCTGCAAAATTAGCAAATACATGATCAGCCTAACATCCAAATATATGTTAAATCTAATTGCAAATGGGTCAAAATTAAGTTAATGGTCAAATGTCACAACAAACATATATCGAATATCAAGTATCATTGTCACGTATTGAATATATGCAGGTCACATAGTTTTATTTCCCAGATTTTTTTTACAAGAGGTCACAGATCATTGCATAGGTCACGTATGACATTTAAGTCTTTGTATATTGGTCACAGTTAATTGCATGTCGGTCACAATTCTGTTAAATGATCACAGGTCAAAGCAAACACATGTGGTATCTTGAATGTCATGGTCACACATTGAATACATGCAGGTCACATGTATTCAATGTGTCACAATTACATGCAATAATCGGTCACAATAACTAAGTATAGATCTGTCGCATATGATTAGATCCAAACAAGAGCATCAGTATCATAATACACAGATTCAAACACGTCACACATTTCGAGACACAAACACCCATGCATACTGAATGCATGAGGTTATATCTTGTATCCAGGGTCACATGTTTTCTATAACGGTCACAACAGTTTCGAACAGCAATGTCCGATATTCATGATCACAGTTCTGTCAAAAATCATTTTTTGATCAATCGAAGCTTGTCTAGCGTGAATAAATGACAAATTATAATGAATAAATCGCAATTACACATCTGATCAATTTAATTACACGCCTGAATAATGTAATCAGTGTCTGTTCGAGACAACGTGTTTTAATCCGACCTCATACGACCCGCGACTGCAATTTGTGACCAGAATTCGATTTCACCGTCACTTCCGCAAGAGCCGGCCGTAATTGGATATATTTTCAAATCTTCTGGCTATTGGAATCAGATTGAAAGATGAATTAATCTTTTTTAGGAGAATCCTGATATTACGGCTCTTTGTTCGGGATTGTTTTCTATATCAAATTATATTAATATTTATATTTATTTTTAGGCTAATTTCTGATTTTTGAAATATGATACTTATTTTCTTATTTTTGAAATGCCCTATACTTAATCTCTTGTATGTGAAATTTTCCCAACAATTTTTTATCCGAAATATCTCTGAAGCCTTATTGATATAGGTTTCCTGTTATACGTCCAAAATACCCATATATCTGCCTCTATAGATCTTTATGCCAATGACATAAGATGTATCATCCATATCCTTCAAGTCAAAAATTTTAGAAAGAAATTGCTTAACCTCGTGTAGCAAACCCTGATCATTGGACATTAGTTGCAAGTAAAATATCATCCACGTATATAATAAGAAAAAAAATTACTCTCATTGACCTTCTACTAGATACATTGATCCATAATGTTTTTTTTGAAACTAAATGAAGAGATAACATCATGAAATTTTAAATACTATTGATAGGAAGCTTGTTTTACTCCATATATGGATTTCTTATGCTTGCATACCAAATGCTCACCATTACTCTTCATTATCGGCTACATCTATACTAATAGACCACTGATGACAAGTTTCGTTTAGCTGTGTGTGTGTGTGTGTGTATATATATATACATATATACATACATATATATATATATATATATATATATATA